GAGAAAAGCAGATTAACTTTCTTCTTATTGATGTTGATGGTAAAATCGTGATAAATCTGAAATAATATGTTTTCTTTAGGGACTGTTTTGCCTCACAACACCCTTCATGTTATGTATCCCTCCACCATGAATGGAGTTTAAAGCCAAAATCTTCTCTAAACGATCATAAAACAGTGTCTCAGTCATCAGGCAGTGAATTCATAACCATTTCATGTAGTAACTTTCTGTGAGGGAGCTTTTAGAGGTGGACGCCTGGTTCCTATCACCACGACTGTGAACAGTTCTGACTGTGGTTCATCAGCTGGTGATGTTCTGTTTGTAACTGTACTATAAGTGTGAAATGGAATGGTTCATTTAAAGAAATTCATTTTCATAGTTCTGGTGCGTATTTAAATGAGTGTGTGTGGTTTGGTAGTCGTGACTGATGAACTCCAGCGGTGGGACTTTCTGGACTGGACTGTGTGTGTTTAGCAGTTTAACAATACATCACTGCTTTATCTTTACATCATCTACACTGCCTCATTACACCAACACACACTCTCTCTCTCTCTCTCCACCTATCCTGCTCACGTACTCACTGCACACACACAATGCAGCGCGGTCAGCGCCGCCGATCGGGTCATTTAGGAACCGGCCTTACATTGTCTCTGAGAGCCCCGCCCTCTCCTCCTAATGGGGGGACAGGTCGGTGTGGGGTCACATCCCCCCCTCTTCACCCACTGTTTGTCTCACCTTCTCTTCTTCTATCTCTCTGTCTTTCTTTCTTTTCTCTCTATTTCTCTTTCTCTCTCTCCTCGCTCATGTTCCTCACTTCCCTCTCGCTCTCTCACTCTCTCTTTGTCTGTTCTGCTCACACTCTTTCTTTTTCTCTCTCCCTGTTTCTCTTTCTTTCTTTCTTTCTTTCTTCTCTCTCCGGTTTCTCTCCTTCTCTCTTCTCCCCCTTTCCTCTCTCTTTCTGTCTCGCTCTCTCCTCTCTCACTCTCTCTCTGCTTATTCTGTCTCCTCTCTCTATCTTCTCTTTTTTTCTGCTTATTCTCCCTCACTGTCTCTCTCTCTCTCTCCCTCTATCTCTCCTCTCTTTTTCTCTGTCTCACTGTCTCTGTCTCTCTCTCTCTCCCTCTCTCTCTCCTCTCTTTTTCTCTGAATCTCTCTGTCTCTCTCTCCCTTTCTGCTTATTCTCCCTCTCTCTCTTTATCCCTTTCTTTCTTTCTTTTTCTTTCTTTCTTTCTTTCTTTCTTTCTTACTTTCTTTCTTTCTTCTCTCTCCTGTTTCTCTCTTTCTCTCTTCTCCCCCTTTCCTCTCTCTTTCTGTCTCTCTCTCTCTCTCGCTCTCTCCTCTCTCTCTCTCTCTCTCTCTCTGCTTATTCTGTCTCCTCTCTCTATCTTCTCTCTTTCTGCCTATTCTCCCTCACTTTCTCTCTCTCCTCTCTTTTTCTCTGTGTCTCTCTGTCTCTCTCCGTTTCTGCTTATTCTCCCCCTCTCTCTCTCTCTCTCTCTCTCTCTCTCTCTCATTAAGGTAAATGTGTCAGTGTAATGTGAACTCCTCTCTCTGCTCAGACTCATTACTCATTTGTGTGTCTGAGTGAGAATGTGTGCTGGTATTTATTGCTTCGGCTCTTAAGGTAAAGGTTAATGTATGTAGAGTGAATGTGGATGTGGGGGGGTGCTGGGGGGTCTTCAGATTTTACTGTGTGTGTGTGTGAGTGTGTTTTGGGTCATATGGCTCATAAAATGTCTGAAGTGGTCCAGCAGGTCCGTCTGTAAGCACTGCTTCATTCACAGCCAGCTGTTTCTGGACACTCAGTGTGTGCGCGCGTGTGTGTGCGCGCGCGTGTGTGAGCGTGTGTGTGTGCGTTTGCAGTGTAAAAATGCATCGATTCATTATGAAGCATCGATCTGATGGAGTGCACTGATTTTTGGACCCAATTATAATTTATTATATTCAGTCTTGTGGGACGTCTTGTGTTAAAAAAAAAAAAAAATCATATGATACCGAAATAACTGAACTGACTCGAATTGTGATGAAATATGAGATTCCTTGAAGCGCTGAATCATTTCCTGAAAGATCGTAATCAGATAGATTTCTGTTTTTCTAAAGAATTTGGGTCATGCCCTAAAGAATCATAATCGAATCATGAAGAGGTGTGACCAAATCACTGAATCATTTTCATAAAGAATCATAAACAAACCATTGAATCATTTACTAAAGAATCCTAAGTAAATTGAATTATGTACTAAAGGAGTGTAATGAAGTTATTGAGTCACATCTTATGAAAATATAATCAGATCTTTGAATCATTTCTTAAAGAATCGTAATCAAAATGAATCAGTTCCTAAAGAACTGTAATCAAATCATTGAATTGTTCCCTAAAGAATCATAGTCTTCACTTATGTCCTAAAGAACAGACATTGACTTATTTCTGAGCTCAGAGATATAAACCCCTCATATATATATGTGTGTGTGTGTGTGTGCGTGTGTGTGTGTGCGCGTGTGTGTGTGTTCATATGAGTAGATGTGTTCACTTCCTATTGGAAGGTCAGATGAAAACACTTTTTTCCTCTCTTTTCTTCTTCTGTGGTTCGTTCTCACGGTAGTGTGTATCATGTGAGCGTGAACTACACACACAGCTGTAGCGGTGCCCTCGGGAGAGGGCGGAGGAGTGTGTGTGTGTGTGTGTGTGTGTGTGTGATTGAGTAGCTGCGTGTGTTAAAGAACATTAGCTGAAAACACATCATGTGTGACGGAGTGATACGGACAGAGTGATGAATCTGTGCTGGAGGAGTGCACTGTGCTTGTCTTTAGCGCTGTGTGAGGACCGAACGTCCTCATGACGGCAGGAAAACATGTCAGTTTTGATAAATGAGGACATTTTTGTTCATCTCTCAAGAAATCATGCTGTTTTTACCACAAAGGTTTTGAAAAAAAGAAATAAAAAAGCAGAAATATACTGAACATAATCAGGGCTGGGCGATATGACGATGTATATCATTATCGTGATAAATTATGCCACAATATGATAAGCTTTTCTGAACGTATGGTGTATATTGTCAGTACTTGTAGACACTGACCAGTTACATTCTGCCGTCCCATTTAAGGTGGACTGGGAAAAATTGAATAAGAAGCTGGCGAATGAGAAGCGACTTCAGCCTCGTAAAAAATCAAACGTTGAGACATTTTACAAGAAACTGTTCTACTTTTGTGGAAAAGTTTCCTGCCAGAGATGCGAGAAAGGCAGTTATAGCTGAGCTAAAGCTTAAAGCAGAGCAAAGTAAGTCTGCGTTTTTGTGTATATCACATTTTTAGCCTATGCTAGGACATTAAAACATACTGAGACATGTTTACAGCCCAGATATAAAATGTGGCTCCGAAGGTGGTTTGATTTTTGCTCTTCTTAACATTTGCGTAGCCGACCCCTGTTTTAGGCGCCGTTTTACGTGCTTACGGCGAAAGTCCTCACAAATATAGCAACACCAGCGTGTTTGTGTGTATGCAATGGCTATTTATACTGGCTGGGAAAGGAAGAGGCTTGTTGAATTGTGATGATGATGTCATGACTGGGCAGATTATGCCTGACGCTCTGGTTTTTCCTCTCTCACACACACACACTGCTTTCTGTGGACGTGTGTGTTCCTGTTCTACAGCGATCACACCTTACACTGCGCTCGGAGTGTGTGTGTGTGTTTGTTTAATGATAATGTGGCACCAGAGACCACAGACAGTGGAAAAACTTACATTACCTCAAACCCAGTTTTGCTCTCGGAGCGACGACACTTACGCAAAACCCAAGTTTACGCTGAACAGTGAAGCACCATCAACACGTTTTCACTGCAGACGCTTTGTTTAGCCTGTTTCTGCAGCGCAGACTGGAAATCAGCTTTGATATTTTTAATCAATATAATCAAATAAAAAGATATTGTCCCCGTAGCTCTGTTAGAGATGCACCGATACCACTTTTTCCCTTTCGATGCCGATACCTGATCCTTTAGTATCGGCCAATACTGAGTACTGATCGAACTCTGTCAGACCTAACTCACCTATAAGTCCTGATATTTAAAAGATTACATTTTTAATATAGTTTAATTTTAAATCTCTGTTCTGCATCACAATAAAACACACACTCAGCTTGGCTAGATGCCATTTACTTGTTGGATTACATTTATTAGATGGTTAAGAAAACTTATTTTTGTTTATTCACGGTGTCTATCTAGTATTTACTATTATATAATTAGAAAAAGAACCATGTTTATTTTATTGTTTATTGTGTAAAACAGTTAAAAACAGAGCTGAACAGTGTTCAGTTAAACCTGTATTTACACAGCTCGGGGGGTTGGGGGGGATATTTGATATTTGGGATCTTTTTTTTGGGGTGGGCGTTGCTGAACTATCGCTTTAATATTCATATCTAAATATGTGAGCATTGTGCTTTAGTATCTATGAAGCTTCACTGGTGAGCATTGATGTGTTTTTTTTTTATAAAATCTATTACATTCTGTGGTGTATGTTCCTGTGTGTGTGTGTGTGTTCTAAAAAAGACGAGAGTACACACACACACACACACACAGACACACACACACACACACACACACACGTCTATTTCTTAGTGTTTATATATGTTGACGTTGATGAATGGATACTCCACTACTGTTTGTCTTTTATATAATGGGGTTTTTGGCCGGCTGTCTGTGTGTGTGTGTGTGTGTGTGTGTGTGTGTGCGATTCTGCAGACCACACTCTGTGTTTCCCATGTATGACTATCAGCTGTGCTCTGTTTTTAAACGAGTTCAGGTTTTAAAAAAAGAAAAAAGTACCACACTAACTCTAATCTTCTTCTCTCACTCTTTTTTTTCCTCTGTCCTCCTCTACCTCTCTCTCCCATCTCCCTCTCTCTCTCTCTCCATTTCTTCCTGTATCCATCTCTCTCTCTCTCTGTCTTCCTTCATCCCCACCCCTCTATTGCTCTCCCTCTCTCTATCTCTCTCTCTCTCTCTCCCTCTCTCCAGCCTGTCCTGCTGGTCAGTTTAAGCTGGGTTCTGGTTCTGGTCCATGTTCTCCATGTCCAGAGTCCAGTCACACTGGAGAGACAGGAGCAGCGTCCTGTGTGTGTCGCCCTGGTTACCATCGGGCCCTCACTGACAGCCTGGATTCACCCTGCACACGTGAGTGGTATACACACACACACACACACACACACACACACACACACACACACACACACACACACACACACTTAATTACATAACTTGCTATAGGGATGTATATTATTTACATTTGTACAACAAACAGCACATACATATATACAGAAATGTATAACACCTGAACACACACATATATATATATATATATATATATATATATATATATATATATATATATAAAATGTGTGCGTGTGTGTGTGTGTGTGTAAAATAAATATATACGTGTGTGTGTGTGTGTGTGTGTGTGTGTGTATGTATGTATATATTTTATACGATATATAGCACTGTGCAAAAGTCCTAGGCACTCATTGTATCATTACAAAAAATATAAATAAACATAAATACAGTAAAAAGTAACAAAAACTTCTTATTTTGTTCAGAAATGTAGCCAGGATCTTGTGAGTGTGAGGTAGTTTGAAGACCAGAATGTGGTGTGTGGTATACATATACAAAGCTTAATAAACTGAACCTATATCTATATATCAGTTTCTCAAATAAATCTGCAGACAGACCTTCAAAGTTCAGTCAAGTTGGTTGATCCTTTTCTGAAGTGATCAAACACATTCAGTGATGTTGAGGTCTGGACTATGAGAGATGCGCTAATATGTGAGCTGTGGATGATCAATGCAAATATATTAGCACTTCAGCATCAGCTAAATTATATATGCATGCAAATCCATAAACACACAAACAGCAGAGACACGCGTTTCTGTTATTATCACCTCTTTAAACTGTAAACTTTGAGACCTTTTCTTTCTTTAAACCTTCTTTTTTTTTAAATTCCCTCAATGCTGCATTCACACATTCGCATCCTGTTACTTCTTACTTCTCCTTTCTTCCCTCTCTCTCTCCTTTATTCTCTTCTTGCTCTCCGCATTCCTCCTTGTCCGTTTCCTTTCCGTCTGACCGTTCGTGTCTCCTCCTCTTTTGTATTCCCTCTTTCCTTCTACCTCTGTCTCTGCTCTTTCACCACCTGTTCTTCTCTCTCTCTCTCCCCACATTCCTGTCTTTAGTCCGTCCAGGTGCTTCCTCCTTTGTGATGCATGCTGGGTATTGTAGTGCTGACGCTCCTCTCCACTGGAGCTCCACTCATCATTGTCCGCTTGATGGACAGCCGAGTGGACGAGCGTGTTTTGATGTGTGAATGAGTGGCAGCTCTAATTGGTCCAGGCCAGCAGGAAGTAGTTTCAATAGAACTGAATGGGGTCGAGTCAAAATAGAGGCGACTCTAAATTTACTTCTGTTCAGTAGATGGTAGTTAAGTCCAGGCAGGTGTGTTTTAAAAGACGTTTAAACTTTATCGCATACTACTTTCTAACTATCATATAAGCCCCGCCCACAAATGTGTTCTTTAATAGCTACTGCTGTGAGGTTGGGTGAGTTTTAAGAACCTTCGTACGAATGTTCTACACTGAATATATACCAGAAAACACGGTTATTGCCACTAATACTGCTTGTTTTGAGTTTTAATATTAGTTTACAAGCCTTTAGATATGACAGCAATAATGTAGATGTGCTTTAATCACCTATTTTCACGTTTAAATTGTTGCACGCTATCGCCCAAAAGTCTGGAATCACTGTTTTCAATAGTATAAGACCCATATATGGGTTCAGTCATGTGGTCAAATTTAATGATTTGTTGATTTTCTAATAAATAAGACACTAATAAATAAAGCACATCCTCTGCACATTTTAATGCACAATAGACATTTATTTACTCAATTTAACATATTGGGAAACAAAATATAACTTAAAATGAGGTAAAATGTAATGCATATTTGGAATAATTTATTTTTTTCTCAATTTGTTAAACTCAGCAAATAAATAGAAATGGTGTACTACAAATTGCAGAAAATCCCATACTTAATTCCATACATAAGATGTTTTTATTTTACTGAAAATCAACTAATCTTAAGCATACGACTGCACATATAATTCTAATATGATGCCAATATTTAGTGTTTTTCAAAGCAATTGGTGGAAAGCAGTAAAAATTAGGAAATATGTGATGATAAATGGTATATAATAAGTGTAAAAGCTGTATAGCATCAAAAATGAACTTAATTATAATTAATAAAACTAATATCCAGATTGCCACACATTCAAAAATAGGTGACTTGATCTCACTGATCAATTAATTCGTACCAAATTATTTATTTAATAACATTCACCACTTTTTTTACCGTGTCACAACTTCCCAGATAGCAGACAGTTTTGGGCCGATTCTGACTTACCTTTGTGAGTGTTGGCTGACTACCGGGTAGGTAGTCGGGTCAAAATAGGGCCAGATCCTGGACAGCTTCATACCATTTTGCCTCATGTCTACATTTGTGGGACAGTACTGGCATGAATGTTGTGCACCAACAATGTAGTTGGGCCAGATTGGGGCCATATCCTTTAATTCTACTCACTTTACAGTATGTGGGCCAGATCTGGGCCGAGGACCCAGCCGTATACTGGGCCAGAACAAACTAAGGATGTGGCCCACAAGTGGGCGACAGACAAAGTTTGCTAAGTAGCTTGTTCCCAAAACTTTAGTGACAGTAGCTGTGGCCCGATTCAGGAGCTGCATCCTTCGAAGGCGTGTAGCGTAGGTTTTGCTTCAGACCACATTGGCTTTTTTAACATTTGTATCATTCGCTACTTTTTCGAGTTTAAACCCATTACTTTCATTTGAAGTGTCTCCTCAGCCGCCGTTCGCTCCTCTGCTGATGCCGCCGTGTTCTCGAATCCTCTCCGGCACGCAGTGAACCTCCGGATATGTCCAACGGGGTATATCCACCCATTGGATCTTTCGTTGCCATAGAAAAGAAGGACACGTTTCTCGGCCGCATATGATAGAGGCTTCGAAATAGGACAACCTAGTCGCGCCGCTGTGACGCAGTCGGCCTTCAGATGCAGCCTCTGAAGGACGCAGCCCCTGAATTGGGACACAGCTCGTATCTGTGTCAATAACAATATTGCTATCAGTATTTGTGCACCTGTAGAGGAACGGTCACACAGATATCTTGTTTAAGGAGAGGAACTATCATACAAGCATCTTGTTTAAGTTCCTTTTTCTGCATTTGGACTTTGACTCCGTGTGTAAACACTGTTAGCATCGTTAGGCTAGCGTGGCAGGCTATACGTTAGCCTGTGTTTAGCTGTGTCTGCGCTGGAGTTTGCATATCCCGGTTTGTTTAGCTTATCAGTCGTTCACACAGAGCGAACAGTGGATGTTTTGTATGTGGCGCTCGCAGTGGATTAGAATGTGCTGATAGATCCAGACTGTGGTTTGTTTACTGTTTTATCAGTACATCAGTAAATATGGCGGTCTCAAGTCGCCAGACAACAGGAGGCGGTGTGTGTGTGTGTGTGTGTGTGTGTGTGTGTGTGTATGTGTGAAATACTGACACATCCCCGCACGCACACACACACACACGCTCGCGCGCTGGGTGTCTCAGAGCAGTGCTAATACATAGCCGGATTTTATGCTAGCATTAAAAAGATTAGCATGTGCGAGTATAATCACATTGCAGGCGATCTTTATCTCACACACACACACACACACACACACACACACACACACACACACACACACACTCTCACACTCTGAGCCAGCTCTCAGCAGTTTCTTTATTAGAGCGCTAATCCCTGCTAGGTAATAAGAGCGAAAGCTAGAACAGTTTAGAGGCCTCAGTGTGATGAGCGAGAGAGCATGACAAAGAGAAGAAGAGAGAGAGAGACAAGCACTCTGTAGTTCTACAGTTACAGACTGTAGTCCATCTGTTTCTTTGCATACTTTGTCACCCTGCTCTTCAATGGTCAGGACCCCCACAGAGCAGGTATTATTTGGGTGGTGGGTCATTTTCAGCAGTGTGTGTTGTGCTGGTACGAATGGATCAGACACAGCAGTGCTGCCGGAGTCTTTAAACACTGTGTCCATTCACTGTCCACCCTATTAGACACTCCTACCTTGTCAGTCCACCTTGTAGATGTAAAGTCAGAGACGATAGCTCATCTGCTGCTGCACAGTTTGTGTTGGCCATCCTCTAGTCCTTCATCAGTGGTCACAGGACGCTGCTGGCTGGATATTTTTGGTTCTCAGTCCAGCAGTGACACTGAGGTGTTTAAAAACTCCAGCAGCACTGCTGTGTCTGATCCACTCAGACCAGCGCAACACACACTAACACACCACCACCACGTCAGTGTTACTGCAGTGCTGAGAATGACCCACCACCCAAATAGTACCTGCTCTGTGAGGGTCCATGGGGGTCCTGACCACTGAAGAACATCTATTCTTTAACATTATAAGTTGTGAATCTGTAAATTCTCCTGTAAATTGACTATTTTGGAGAGAACTAGTTTTGTCCTGACATTGCAGCAGCATATTTATCTTTCTGGATGTCTCGTGTGTGTGTGTTTGTCACAGGCCCCCCCTCGGCCCCCCGCGGCCTGTTCCCTCAGATTAATGACACCTCTCTGACTCTGGAGTGGAGTGAGCCGGTGGACAGCGGCGGTCGCTCTGACCTGTCCTACAGCATCCAGTGCAGCGTGTGCATGTCCCCCGCCGGGCCCTGCACCGCCTGCGGAGAGGGGGTCAGTTACCGGCCTGCTCAGGCCGGTATCCGAGGGCGACGGGTCAGCGTGTGGGGGCTCCGCCCACACACCACCTACACCTTCACCGTCCAGGCTCTGAACGGGGTTTCTGCACTCAGCCAGCAGGGGCCGGCCGGAGACAGCATCAACATCACCACGGGCAGAAACGGTGAGACACGGACAGACGGTTCTAAATCTTCTGCGCTGACCTCGAACCGCGTGGAGGTGCTCGGTGATCTCTAAAAGACTTTCTGACACTGCATGACTCACTGTTATCTGTAAACATGGACTGAAGTACAGACAAAACTCACACTGTAGTCCATGTTTATAGATAACAGTGAGTCATACAGCGTCAGAAACCACATAATCCAGTCTATTAGTGATTCTGAACGACTGCACACGGTTTGAGGGAAGTGCATGAAGATTTGGGCATGTGGTTAGCACCATGCTAACTGGTGTGGTACAAATTTCCATTACTTTTTAGCTTCGATAGACTTGTAGCTCAAGCGTAAAGCAAAAAATGCTTGGCTAATTGACTACATTTGTAGGAAGGAAGGATATTCAAGTCGAGCAATCAGGTTTAATTGTTTGTTTGTTTGTGTGTTTCAGTTCCAGTGCTAGTGTCTGGTATCAGCAAGAGGACAGCAACAGAGTCCAGTCTGACCCTACACTGGGCCGTTCCAGCACAGCCTCCCTACAGCATCCTACAGTACCAGCTCCGCTACTGCGAGAAGGTACAGCAAACACACTCACTTCATTCAGTTCACTTTAATTTAACTTCACCATCACTGCACCATATATGGTAATATATAGCGTAGCTGTGTAGACGGTACTAGCCGAGATGCAGTATTACAATGCAATACTAGAGTTCACTACTAGCATCAGTACTAGCAATACAGCAATACTAGCATCAACATGACTCTGTCATAGATGCAATGCAAACATAGACACTATTCTAGCATAGACAGAATACAGTCATGGACACAATACAGGCATAAACACCCTACGCGTCTAGACATGTTACTAGAGTAGATACTAGACCCAGTGTGGTGTAGATATAGTGCTACCGTGGACGTGGAACCTGGGTACCACAAAAAGGCCCACTGTTGGATCTGCTGACGGCAAAGCTGGCTGCCCCCTGGCTTTTTGCTCAGCGTTTTCAGGGCTGCCCACCAGAGCATTAGACAGAAGGCTACTTTTAGCCTTTTTTAAAGTGCTCATTTTCCAGTCACAGTCAGAATTACTTTTGTTATCCTTTGTCGATTAATTTAGTAAATAATTTTAACAGTAATATTATAAACAAAGCTGTTTTTTTTCATTTTTTTATTAGGCCTATTATAGATTTTCTCTCTGTTGTTTGTAATAATTGTCCTATTTTTTTATTTATTTTTTTTTTTCAAAATAAAAAGCTGTGTGCATTAAAAATCAGCTTGAGGAGATTAAAAGCTAGTTAGAGCTCGTATGCAGGACAGTAGTCTAGGTGGTCTGAGGGTGGACCAGCAGTGGCAAACAGTCAGCAGGGTGCTACCTTATCAAGCCGGCGTGCAGATATGTGCTTGCTATCTGGGGTATCTGCTAGATACAGGACTGTGTTGACAAAATATTAGTGCAGACACACTACAGTGTGGATACCAGCATAGATAAGGTACTAGTGTATATATTGTGTGTGTGGATACAGACACAGTACTAGAAAAAACACAATACTAGTGTAGACACTACTACTAGCATAGATATTAGCATAGATATGGTGCTAGCATAGTCAGTGTGCTTTTGTAGATACAGTACTATCATAGAAAGAGTACCAAACAGTCAGCAAACCAGTGGACTGATATGTGCTTGCTATTTGGAGTACCATCATGGACTCTGTGCACTGTAGATATGGTAAAAGCGTAGACCTGGTACTAGCAAAAACACAATACTAGCATAGATACAATACTATTATTGACAAAATATTAGTGTAGGCATACTACTAGTATAGATACTAGAATAGATATGGTACTAACATGGATATTGTGCTTGTGTAGATACAATACTAGTGTCCACACAGTACTAGCATAGACAAATATTAGTGTAGATGTACTAATAGCATAGATACTAGCATAGATATGACACTAGCATGGATATTCTGCTTGTGTGGATACAGTACTATCATAGTAACAGTACCAACTCAGACAGTACAAGCAAAAAAACACAGTACTAGCATAGATACTGTACTATTATAGACAATATATTATTGTAGAAATACTGTTAGCATAGATAATCTACTGACACAGACACTGTGCTTGTGTAGATACAGTACTAGCGTGGACACATTAATACCATAGACACATTATTAGCATAAATATAATAACTTGTATGCACACATACTACATTCAAATGTCTTTAACAGTCTTCATTTTTCTTTTATTTTCTTTTCTCTACTCTCTCTCCCCCTTTTCCTCTCCCTGCTGGCCTTTTCCATTCCAGTTTTGTTAATCTGTCTTTTTTTTTTTCACTGCCGCTGCTGATAACAGTGCTGCCAAAGCAATTAACGAAATCAAACAGATCAAATAAACAGGGGATAATTAAACGGCAAACAAGAACTTAAACGGAAATGAATATAAACAGATTTGAAGAGCTGAATCTGCACGTCTGTATTTGTCTGTGTGTAACAGGAGCGCGGCGCGGACGAGCACTGGTGCCGTTACAAGGAGAGCGACAGTAATCAGGTGGTTCTGAGTGACCTGCGCAGGGCCACGCAGTACGAGGTTCAGGTCCGAGCCCGAACTCAGGCCGGATACAGCACCTTCAGCCCGGCCAAGTCCTTCAGGACTCTCCCAGACGGTAAGAAAACGCGCCACGTCCAGCTACCAAGCGTTTAATCACACCATTTCAGCACCAAATCAAATGTACACAGTAGACTTGTCAACTTTACCACTCGTTGATGGTGCTTGATGTTGATGAGCCGCTGATCTCGTGATTATGACACTAACAACATGGACATCTCCGGTTTCCTGAAGAATACAGTAAAAAGTTTTGTTTTGAAGAAGTTTGAAGTCGGTTACTCTTATTTTCGCCGAGTTATGGCGCTCTAAATTGGCTCTCTGCACCTTTTGGCAGTGCCACTGAGGGTGCACCTAAGTTGGATACGAATTTCAAGATTCCAGGGTCAATATTTCGGTTCCCTGAGGGTCAGCGATGAGATTCAGGGCTTGTTGGAAAGGGCACGTCAGGCTGTACTGACCTGTGGAGTTTGGATTCATTCTAACATTTCTCCACTGATCTACAGAGCTTCAAAGATCAGATATATGCCAGTTTTCCGAAGAAGGATCACAGATTTTTGAAGTCGCTCGTTGCGGAGCGTTGCCTTCTCCTGTGGTTTTATTTGTGACGTCATCAGCGATCAATCGACTCAACTTTCATCACAACTGTCGACTTAAAAAGATCTAAAGTCCTGCAACCCCTAGAACACACTTCATCCCCTTCCCTTAGTTTAGTCCATCAGCCAAGACGTGTTTGGTGTTTGAAGTTTGTTTCTGTAGAACCCCACCAAATAGCGTTAAGCTAACTGTATACCTATAGACCAGGGGTCTATACAACACGTGGCTCCGGAGCTGCATGTGGCTCTTTTACTGTTTATAATCACTCCAGCTGGTTTCCTGATATGTTAAATCTGCAATGAGAAACGGAAGCTGAAGTCACGAGGCTAAAGACTGTTACATTCTGGCACCTCAGGCACCATTTAAGGTGGAACGGGAAAGTTTGAACAAGAAGCTGCGAATGAGAAGCGACTTCAGCCTCGTAAAAAGCAAAAAGCATTAAGAGACATTTTACAAGCAACTGTTCTACTTTTGGAAAAGTTTCCTGCTGGAGATGTGAGAAAAGCGACTATAGCTGAGCTAAAGCTTAAAGCAGAGCAAAGGAAGTCTTAATTTTCATTTATATTATATTTTTTATGACATTAGCACACACTGAGACATATTTACAGCCAAGATTGTGAAACAGACATAAAGTGTTGTGGCTCCCAAGGTGGTTTGATTTTTGTTGAAACTTGACAAAATGGTTCTTCTTAACATTTGGGCTGCGACCCCCGCTATAGAACTACAGTCTGTAGCTTTAGATTTTGTGTTTCATAAGACTGGAAGGCGATTCGTCTCACTGAGTCTTTACTTTGCTGACATTCGACAGCAATTCTTCAGAGCAGAGCTTCTGTCACCTCGGAGGTTTGTTTTAGAACTCGCCGCATTGATTTTTCCTCCTCGATCTGGACCGCGAGCCGGCTTCTGAAGTCTGAACTGCACTTTCGTCTTTTTTTTAACTCTCTCTCTCTCTCTCTCTCTCCCCCTCTCTCCCTCTCTCTCAGAAGATGACTCTTCATCCCCTCTCCTTGTTACCGGGGTTCTTATCGCCATGGGGATGCTCCTCCTCATCACTGTCATCGGCATCGCCATCTACTGCATCCGGTAAGTGCGACAGAAAAGAGGGAGAGCGAGACAGAGAGACAGAGAGAGAGAGAATAAAGAGAGGGAAGATCTAGAGGCAGAATCAGAGAGCGAGAGAATCTCACTGCTCATGTTGTTTAACAGTAAAAACTCTTATTATATCACTTTTCTTATTATATTATATTATTTTTAACTCAAGCTTTCACAACACAAATGTACTGTTATTCGTAAAACCAGCATCTCTGAACTGACTGAACTCAACTGAATAGACTTGAGCTGAATTGAATTTTGTTTGAATTGAATTGAATTCCTTACATAGCTTGGGAACGAGAGAGAGAGAGAGAGAGAAATAAAAACATGGAAAAGAGAACAGAAAAAAGACATAGAAGAAAACCGAGAATAGGAGAGCAATAGAGCGAGAAATAGAGAAAGAGAGAGGAAACGAGAGAGAGAGAGAGAGAGAGGAGGAAAGTGTAAAAAAGGATGGAAAAAATGAGACAACAGAGAAAAGGAGAGCAATAGAAAAGAGAAGAGAGAGAAAGAGAGGAAACGAGAGAGAGACAGAGAGAGAGAGAGAGAGACAGAGAGAAATAGAGAGAGAGAGAGACAGAAAGAAATAGAGAGAGGGAGAGAGAGAGAGAGAGAGTATGTAAGTGTGGGACAGGATGTGGTCGTCCCGGCTCCGTCTGCACTGGCCAACTCAGGAGAACAATAGACTCGACCTCAGGGCAACACACAATCTCTCACACGCACACACGCACTCTCTCGCACACATACACACACACACACACACACACATACGCACACTCTCTCACACACATACACACACACACACACACACACATACGCACACTCTCTCACACACATACACACACACACACACACACACACACACGCACACTCTCTCACACACATACACACACACACACATACGCACACTCTCTCACACACATACACACACACACACATACGCACACTCTCTCACACACATACACACACACACACACACACACATACATGTTCCTGTGTGAGCGCGTTAATATTCATGAACTAAGTACAAACTGAGTGTGTGTGTATAAGTTCTTAATACAGCTGTGCACACACGTGTGTGTGTGTGTGTGTGTGTGTGTGTGTGTGTGTGTTCACACTCACATATGACCTCATCCACACACACATACAGTGAACAGGACCTGCCATCAACACTGGGTGGGACAAATACAGCTATTTTAGTAGAGAGAGAGAGAGAGGGAAAGAGAGAGAGTGAGAGAGAGAAGAAATGAGAGAGAAAATGAATGAGAGAAAGAAAGAGGAAGAATAAACAGAGAGAAGGAAAAAAAAGCAAAAGGAGAAAAAGAGGGAGGGGGAGAGAAAAAGAAGAGAGAAGAAGGAGACAGAGAGAAAGGTGAATGAGAAAAAGAGAAAAACAATGAGAAAGAGGGAGAGAGATAAAAAAGACAAAGAGAAAGGGGAGAGAGGAGGCAGAACTGAGAACAGAGAGAGAGACGAAAAATAAGGAATGAACAGTGAAAGAGAAATAGAGGGGAAAGGAGAGGGAGGGAGAAAATGAGGAATGAAAAACTGAAAAAGAGGCAGAGAGAGGGAGGGAGACAGTGAAAGAGAAAGAGAACGAGGTCTGAGGGCGATTGAGTAATTTAATCTCTACTGATCTGAACTTTATGCCTTGAAATCATTCTCATAAGTAACCTGAGATGGAGGGCTTAGATGGAGGGATAAAGAGTGAAAAGAGAGACAGAGGGAGGAAGAGAGGGGGGAGGGGGTGGGAGTGTGTTTTGTGCCCATGTGTGCATTGTAAGGTTTTTTTATTCTTGCTCTTTTTATTAGTTCAGTTTACTGTCTTACTTTAGTAATAAACAGTAATAACGTAGTAATAAGAGGTACTGCAGGTTTAACAGGACGTCGTTCTGTCTTTATCTCTCTATGTATTTATAAACTGGTAAAACCAGGTTTGCAGGATAAAAACACTGTTATTGTGCAACATGCAAAACACTGAGTCTCATCAGTTTAGTCACTGAAAGCTCACAGTCAGTAATGTTTCACCTGCAGGAAGCAGAACCGACTGAAAGATCCTGAACTGAGTGATAAAAACGAACAGTACCTGATGGGCCAAGGTGAGGAACCCAGCATGCACTCACATCTCTCCTCCCACACACTGTACTGTGTGTTTGGTATGTCCTTCAGGCCTAGATGTAATGCATACTCTCTCTCTCTCTCTCTCTCTCTCTCTCTCTCTCTCTCTCTCTCTCTCTCAGGAGTAAAGGTCTACATCGATCCCTTCACCTACGAGGACCCAAACGAAGCAGTGCGAGAATTTGCCAAAGAGATTGATGTCTCCTGTGTGAAGATTGAGGAGGTCATTGGAGCAGGTGGGTTTCTGTAGCTTGCTGTGTTAGACCACCGAACACCAACATTCTCCACTGAACCCCAACGAACCCAACATCCTCCACCAAACCCCAACAAGCCCAATACTCTCCAACAAACCCCAACATTTTCTACCAAACACCAACAAACCCAGCATTCTCCACCAAACACCAACAAACCCAGCATTCTCCAGCAAAACCTAACAAATCCAACATCTTCCACCGAACCCCAACAAACCCAACATTCTCCACCAAACACCAACAAGCCCAACATTCTCCACAAAACCCCAACAAACCCAACGTTCTCCACCAAAGCCCAACAAACCCAACCTCCACAAACGCCAATAAACCCAACGTTCTCCACCAAACACCAACAAACCCAGCATTCTCCAACAAAACCTAACAAATCCAACATCTTCCACCGAACCCCAACAAACCCAACATCCTCCACCAAACCCCAACAAACCCAACATTCTCCACCATTCCACTGAACCCCAACAAACCCAACGTCCTCCACCAAACCCCAACAAACCCAACGTTCTCCACCAAACCTCAACAAACCCAACTTTCTCCAACAAACCCAATATTTTATACTAAAGCCCAACAAACCCAAAATTCTCCAATCAAGCATCAATAAATCCATCATTCTTCAACAAAGTCCACCAATCCACCATTCTCCAATATATCACCAACAAATCCATCATTCTCCACCCAACAGCTTCATTCTCCAATAACATTCTCCAATAAACTCCACCAAAGCCAGCATTCTCCACCCAACACCAGGAAATCTACCATTCTCAATCAACCACCTTTATTCTCCAACCTTCTCAACCAAACAGGCCCGAATTACTGGGTTGGTGTTTCCTGGCTGTGTGTCGAGTTGGAGAGTCTGGAATGTCCTCCTCCATTCACTCCGGTTCCTTTTGGACTTAATGTTAATCCTGAGATTTTCTGATGTAACCTTTTCCCATCTTCTGCTTCTGTTTCTTACAATAACGCATTGTATTAGTTTTGTCATTCTGAGGATTTAGTGGTGAAGGGTGTGAGCTGTGTTATGTTGCTATGGCGATGATTGGAGCTAGATTGGATTACCGTCTACTGTGATCCTCCCTGCTGTGCCATTAACCTGAGGCTACACACACATACATACACACTCACACACATTCCTTCTCCGGCTCCCTCGTTTGTTCCTCCACTCGTCTTTCGCTGTTAATCACCTGGGGAGGCGTTTAAAATCACACTCAGGTTATAAATCTGCCCAAGCTGAAGCCTAGTGTGCTAAAAAGTGCGCTAATGAAGACTGTTTGTGTTGATGCGTGTGCTATCAGAGCAATAGCATACCACAGTTGGAGCAGCATTAACTGAGTGACTTTTATTATTTGTTGTATTCAGTGAATTTCATTGTATTGTATTTATTAGTGTTTTATTAGTGATGGTATATTATTATTCTTATTATTATTTTTCAGCCAGATCTTTGTCTGTTTTTGTTTTGTTTTTTCCTGCAGTTTTCGAGATATCTGGAATGTTCGTTCCGATCAGCAATGGTGTGCTTGTGTGCAGCTTTTTGATTGGATGGTTTTCATACAATCTTTGATGAATGACAATTTTTCCCCCATAGGAATGAATGGGGTGCAAATGTTTGTGCACCCAGCTTGTATTGTGATGAGCCAAGTCCATTAGCAACACCTTATTAAACATGTGAGGTGCCACAGAAACGACGTAGCAGCCCCCTAGCAACCATCTGGGATACCATAGCAACTGCCTAGCAGCACCCTAGCAACCACTTGGCATACCGTAGCACAGCAAGCACCTAGCAACCAACTGGGAAACCGTAAGAAATGGCTATCAACACGTTAGCAACCACCAGGAAAACCATAGCAACTATTTGGCAGCACCCTAGCAACCGTCCAGCTGCGCAGTCACTCTGCACCTTCCTACTTTTAATAAATTTGATTTGTGTTTTGTTTAAACAGGTGAGTTTGGTGAGGTGTGCCGTGGCCGGCTGCGTATCCCCGGTAAGAAGGAGAACTACGTGGCCATAAAGACCCTGAAGGGCGGCTACACAGACAAACAGAGGCGGGACTTCCTGTCCGAGGCATCAATCATGGGTCAGTTTCAGCACCCCAACATCATCCACCTGGAGGGCATCATCACCGCCAGCTGCCCCGTCATGATCATCACCGAGTTCATGGAGAACGGAGCGCTCGACTCGTTCCTCAGGGTACGACTGTCTTAAAGCGATAGTTCAGCAAACCCCACCCCTCCCAAATATAACCCACCTCAAATATAGTCCATCAGCCAGGACACGTTCAGTGTCTGGTGTTTGCTTCTTTAGTTTATCTCTGCTTTCATACAGTCTTCGTTGAATAACGATTTTCCCCCATAGGAATGAATGGGGTGCAAAAGTTTGTGCACCCACCTTGCATCACAATGAGTCAAGTCCATTTGCAGCACCCTCTTAACCATGTGGGGTGCCACAGAAATGACGTAGCATCCCCCCTAGTAACCATAAGGGATACCATAGCAACTGCCTAGCAACAGCCTAGCAAACACTTGGGATGCCATAGCATGGCACCTAGCGACCAACCGGGAAACCATAACAAATGGCCACCACGTTTGGTGTCTGAAGTTTGCTTCTTTAGCTTTAGCACTGAAGCTACAAGGCTAATGTAGCTAACAAGTAATGGAAGCTTATCCCACAGCAATTAGCATGGCGCTAACTGCAGGCTAGCTCACCTCAGAGCGTGTGCAGTTGTTCAGTATCTCTAACAGACTTGATTGTGCAGTTTCTGACACTGTATGATCAAAAAATATCACTGTGCTTTTATTTTCTATTTCTTTTTTTTTGCTAATCTTGTCTTTGTCTGCATGTCTGTCTGATCATCTGTCCATCAGTCTGTGAGCCTTTTATTTTTAGGGAATGTTCTGTTCTCTTCTTCTGCCTTTCTGAAAGCCTGTCAGTCTGTCAGTCCATCTGTCCGGCTTTATGTGTGCTTTTCTGTCATTCACGTTCCGAAGTCTGGAAGCACTTGTCATGTTCATTTCTCTGCTATTCCCAATAAAAGCTTAAGCAGCGTAGAATTAAATCACTACCTAGACGCCAACTGGGATTTTGAGACATGTTGTTCAATATTTCTAGTATTTTTGGGATCAACAAGAATAAATTAAGTGATTAAAAATGCACATCATATTATTTTTTGTCAGATTATCTGCCTAAAGATTTGATCTCCACTTTGGGATGTGACGAATTCTGGAAACTCGTTTTATTATAACTTAATTCTGTAGATTCTTCTAGATCTCTTATCATTATTATTATTATTATTATTATCATTATTATTATTATTATTATTATTATTATTATTGTTGATTATTTGAAAGCTGTAAATGTGTACAGGACTAAGATATTAGAATATTTGTGACGTGTATCTGCAGCTGAATAGCTTTTACATTATTGAAAACATAGATTCCAAACTTTCAAACAGTGGCGTGTATACAGTCGTCTGCAAAAGTTTGTGCGTCCCTGGTCAAATTCCATGTTTGTGTTGATTTTCTGAGTGTGAATAAGTGAACACACCCTCTACAAAGAAAAGACTTCTGCACATTTCAATGCACAATTACTGAATTTAACATATTGAGGGGAAAAAAACATAAAATATAAAATATAAATGTGTCATAACTTTTGCAGGGGCCACATTTTTTTACTCAGTAAGTTAAATTCAGCAAATAAGCAGTAATTATGCATTAAAATGTGCAGTGTGTTCTCTGTAGAGGACTGTATACGACTGTATAGAAACCTGTATGTCACCATATTTATTTATTTACTTAATTGCCGAACCATCATGGAAATAGATCTAGAACTAACATAATCTTTGTCTCTCTCTGTAGCTGAATGATGGTCAGTTCACTCCGATCCAGTTGGTTGGGATGCTGAGGGGAATAGCGTCCGGTATGAAGTACCTCTCCGAGATGAGTTACGTCCATCGCGATTTGGCCGCACGCAACATCCTGGTCAACAGTAACCTGGTGTGTAAAGTGTCCGATTTCGGCCTGTCGCGATTCCTGCAGGAGAACTCCTCTGACCCCACCTACACCAGCTCACTGGTGAGTCTGTACACACACGTACACTAATCCAGGAACTCATTTAACACTCCTGTTCCACTGAAATGTCTATTACTGTGGCTAGAAATAGCTTCAGCTATTGTAGCTGCATTGAAATTTCAGCTGTCTGATGTCACAAGGTCCCTATTTAGTCACTAAAACAAAACACACACACACATTTATACACATATCTCATCACTGGAAAAGCACTCCAATAAATAAAACATCAGAAAGGTTTGCGTTACTGAATTTGTATCAGTCCATTTCATTACAAAGCACTGGAACTACTTTTTTTGGCGGAGGAATTTGTCAACATCTATTTGAAACAATGTTTAGGGCTTTTTTTGCTTTTTTTTGTCTTTATTCTGTGAAACTGTTGTATTTAAGCAGTAGAACGCTGGGGGTGATGTGTTGGGGTGAATAAAATCACGGCTGTGGATGATCTGCTGCGACCGAATCACAGCTTTGTGCTTATTTTCACTCTAACACACAACTTCCAGGGTTCTGTCGCTGTCGTTTACCTGTAGTTCCTCCAATGTTAATCTGTCTCTCTGGTCGGTTTTCTCAGGGTGGTAAGATTCCGATCCGCTGGACGGCTCCAGAGGCCATCGCCTTCCGGAAGTTCACCTCTGCCTCAGACGTCTGGAGCTACGGCATCGTGATGTGGGAGGTGATGTCGTTCGGAGAGCGGCCGTACTGGGACATGAGCAACCAGGACGTGAGTGTTATGGCAGTAAACACAGCCATAAAATAAACAAAAGCAAAAGAAAATGTTCATATCAGGACCATAAAAACCACAGTTTAGTAAATATATTTCCAAATCTGCTTTTCACCTCAAATGTAGCCCGTTAGCCAGGACATGTTTGGCTGTATGACCTGTGTTTCTCTCTAAAAATGGACTAAATTTAGGCTTCAAGATGGCTGCATTGTTTATAGCTATGCTAACATACTTTAGTCCATGTTTATTGATAAAAATGTTTCACACAGTGTCAGAAACCACACAAGTCTGTTAGGCGAGCAGTTTTTTGTTATTTTATACAAAATAATAACACACACAGTGTATTACAATATTATAAACTATTCAGCAAAATGATCATTCAATGTTTCAAGAATTATATGAAGAAAAAGTGAATGAATGATAAATAATATGCTGTAATTACCTATTCATGTAATTTTTTGTTACATTTTTTGTCGCCTCGATATTTGATCTCCACTTTTGAAACTAGGGCTGCTCGATTATGGCAAAAATCATAATCACAATTATTTTGATCAGTATTGAGATCACGATTATTTAACACAATTACTCATCGACTTCGGAAACATGCATTTATTAAACTTAAAAAAAAAGGTCTTTTCAACTGTAGATTTCCTTTAACTTTAAATAAAATTCAACAAAACAAATAATGTAAAAGACGTAAATAAATCATATATGAATATATACAATGAAATAAATAATATAAACATAATAAGTAAATATAAATAAGTTCAAAGTAATTAAGATCAACTGTGTTGTTGTGCACAACATACTGAAAACTACTAAAGATAGATATAAAAATAATAACTAAATAAATTAGACTACAGTAGATGAGCTCGGGCTTTAGGGAGGGGCGAAAGTGCACCGCTGTAAAGGAAAGGTGTGCACTGGATTTATAACACAGGACAAAACGAGATAATTATTGCGAAACAGAGTTGTTTTATCTCAATTATCTTGTTTGCATAATTATAATTAGAAAACTGATTAATTGCTCAGCCCTACTTGAAACATGATTAATTCTGGAAACTAACTTTATTGTAACTTATGTCTCAGTGATGCAACTAATTTTATTGTACTGAAACTTGTTGAATACAAACTTCTGAACAGTAGTGTAATTAATACTGTATAAGCTTCTATTACCTGTTAGCTACATATATTATATTTATATATATTATATATATTTTGGGAGGGAAATTTTGAAAAATTCGATTTTTAGCCAAACTGTCGCTAAAAGTCCTCTTATCTGATCCTCCAGGTAATTAATGCAATAGAGCAGGACTACCGCCTGCCCCCCCCTCCGGAGTGCCCCACCCACCTGCACCAGCTGATGCTGGACTGCTGGCAGAAGGAGCGCACGGCCCGGCCGCGCTTCACCAACATCGTCTCCGCCCTCGACAAGCTGATCCGAAACCCCGCCTCCCTCAAAATCACCGCCCAGGACGGAGCAGGGTGAGTGTGTGTGGCCATGTGTGCTTGTATTTATTTGTTTGTGGGGTCCGAATCGCCCCAGTTTGATGAAAACATGACGGTTTAGTGGTTCTTGTGGGAACTTTCCATGAGGAAACACACTTTTTACACCTCCTGCTCAAATTTCATGTTTAGTTGCTTTTCCTAGATGAAAATTAACAAACAGGGATCAAAAGTAAATATTTTCTGCAATATACATCAAAGTTAAGCATATAGGTTAAAAAATAAAGCATATAAAATATCAAACTGTGCCATTTTATTTAATAAGTTCAGCAAATAGACAGTATGAAAATGTGTCCTCCCCTGTAGAGGATTTGCACTGTGATATCTACAGGAAACACACACAAACGGATGTGTGCAGAAGTTTCGGCACCCCTGGTGAAATGACACGTAAAAATTAGAAAATCAACAAGACAAGTCTTTTCACCAGGGTGCCGAAACTTTTGCATACTTTTGTTTGTGTGTGTTTCCTGTAGATATCCTCGTGCAAATTCTGGAAATTCTTCCTCTTGTCTTTCCCAGCATGGTCACTTGTCAATCAAACACCTATTAGTTAGTGCTGTGGCTTTAGCCCCGCCCCTCACCCCCTCCAAATTCCTTCGGCCAATAACCTGTCAGTTAATTCATTAGCTTCACCTTGGTCCACTCAGCATGGCCTCTTGTCCATTAGGTTGGCCTCCTTTATTCTCAGCATGCTGACCTGTCAATCAAAGCTCCTGTAAACATGCCACCTGCTGCTCGGTTTAGCTGCCTGTCAATTACACACAGTGTGGCTCCTCCCCCTTTTCCTGCAGCTGTCTGTCAATCAACTATTGACATGCTTCTCTCATTGGCTGGGTTGCCTCAGGGTAACAATCCAGCAGTCAATACGTTCTTTATTCCTTCTTTCTCTGTTCTCTCCTTCGGCCTGCGGTTCTAATGAGGTTCTTAATAATGTGCTTTAAAGGATTTTATATGTTTTTAAACAAAGCAGATATTTTATTTATTTACTTATATGTGTTTGTGCTGTACTTAATTGTCATTTTAGCGTCCTGTTCATTTCATTATCTTCTCAATCTTTAATGTGTTGTATGTTTTGTTTTGAACCGTTTAAATGACAGATTTAATTCTTTTTATCCAGTCATTGATCTTGATGTGGACCCACATACAGACCCTTAGAGTTAAAGGGGGTTTATTACGAGGCATTATAAATAAATTTAACTCTCTCTCAGTCCGTCCCACCCCCTGCTGGACCAGCGCTCTCCCCCCACCCCGGCCTCCTGCAGCTCTGTGGGTGAATGGCTGCGGGCGATAAAGATGGAGCGCTACGAGGAGAGTTTCCTGCAGGCCGGCTACACCTCCGTCCAGCTGCTGGCACACCTCAACACAGAGTGAGTCGCAAACAAGCGTCGCTTATATACGCGCACTCTTCCAGCTGGATGGGTCAGCGCATCCTAAACCTGCCAAAAACTTAGTCAGAGTCTGATCACCCTTTATTTTGACAGTCTTTATACTTCATATGAGAATATAAGAGCAACATGAGCTGGTGCTTTAACTTGTTTATGGCTGAAGACAAGAGTAGTGTCTGTTTTTACTAGTTGTAGATTTCAGATAACGTTAGCTTAAACTAACAGCATGATTTAAAATCCGTGTCATATTTTTATAAATATGACACCATATATGTCATATATTTCATATATCATATATTTCGCTGCTGTTGGAACAAAACCTCGTATCTCCAAAATGGTAACTTTACAGGAGAAGGAAAAAACACACTTCACTTTTAATGTAAGTCAATGGAACCAGACGTCTTTCCAAGTCATTTTGGGTCGTTTCTTTTGGTCCATTCATCATGAAATTTACACACAATGTAAAGAACAACAGACACTTTCAAATTATGCCAAAAACTGAAAAAGAACCAAAATGGAGATACGAGGTTTTGTTCTGACAGCAGCGATGTACTAATTAGGCACCAGTTTTGTCGTTCTCGTTTAAAACTACAGGGATCTAGATATTATTTCTACGATGCTATTGGTAACTCAGCTAACATTAGTGCTAGCTAATATTACACTTTAAAAAAACTATGGTTCTACGGGGTTCGTTAATAAAGGGAATGGTTTAGAACTATAAGTTATATGTAGGACCACTTCATGCTTAAATGGTTCTCTGCACGGTGAAATGGTTCTTCAGACCGATGGAGAATGTGTTGGATGTGGTTCTATATAGCACCAAGAAGGGCTATAGAAGTTTAAAGTTGAGAAAAAGTTCAGTTTTATGTAACAGATATTGAGCAGATCATGAATAGCCAGCGAGTAGTTAATGATTTTAGACGGCTAGCTTAACTAGCTACCTAGTTAGGTATCGGTATCTTATTGTATTGATATCTTATTGGTATCTTAGGTATTGGTATTGATATCTTACTGTATTGGTATTTTATTGGTATCATATTGATATTGGTATTTTAATGACATCTTATTGGTATTGGTATCTTATTGTATTGGTATCTTATTGGTATCATATTGGTATTGGTATCTTATTGTATTGGTATCTTACTGGTATTGATATTGGTATTTTATTGGCATCTTATTGGTATCTGTATCTTATTGTATTGGGATTTTATTGACATCGTATTGGTATTGGTATCTTATTGTATTGGTATCTTATTGGTATCATATTAGTATTGGTATCTTATTGTATTGTTATGTTATTGGTATCTTATTATATTGGTAATTTATTGGCATCTTATTGATATTTTTTACTTTTTCATCTTAATTTTTCATCTTACTGGTATTGCTATCTTATTGGTATTGGTATCTTATTGGTATTGGAATCTTATTGTTTTGGCATCTTATTGGTATCTTATTGTTTTGGTATCTTATTGGTATTGGTATCTTACTGGTATTGGTACCTTATTGATATTCCTATCTTATTGTATTGGTATCTTATTGGAATTTTATTGTTTTGGCATCTTATTGTATTGATATCTTAGCTAATATTAGTAGAGGCCTGGCTAATGTTAAGGTTGTTTGGACAGAGTTTTTCCATGGTTGACCCAGTTTCTGGATTCTGGTCAAATTCTGTTGATTATCAAAAGAGTTAGGTTGGGGTTTGGGTTGAGATTAGCATTAGAATTAGCATTGGGCTTAGTGTTAGTAAAAGTTATGGTATGGTATCAGTGTGAGCATCTTCAAAGCATCTGCAGTTGACCACCAAAGTGTCCACAGTGAAATAGAAGAAAAAAAAAGTTAAGGGTTGTGATATGTTTTTATAATATGATATAGAAGGTATGCTGATAAATATTAGGCTGAAAAGTTTGAGACTTTGAAAGAAAAATAAATACATTTTGGAATTGTAACGTTTCTCTCTGTCTTTCTTTGTTTTAGGGATCTTCTGCGGTTGGGCGTCACTCTGGCCGGCCATCAGAAGAAAATCCTGTCCAGCATTCAAGCTCTTAGGGTTCAGAACAAAAGTCCCAATAACATTCTGTACTGACCACACACACTTACAAATAAAGACACGTCACACACACACGCAACATAAACACACACGCACACACAACCCACACGCATACAGTGTAAACAAACACAAACACATCTCAAGACTTGACTGGAGAAGCTCTTCCTGTGACCTGACCAATCAGGAACTCCCGTCCGCCGCCAACTTCCAATAGACGGGGAGTTTGTGTTTAAGTGGCCAAACAGAGACTTTGTGGTGCTTTAGGAGTTAAATAACTTCCTGTTATTGGCCGTGGATGCCGTCATTGGACCTGAATGGCATCACAGCACGTCTACGGGAACAAAGACTGTGCCAAACGAAGACATTAAAAAAGACAAAAATTGTCTTGTCAGACAATGCTAATGCTAACGTCGCAAAAAAGGGAAACAGAGAAATGTCAGATGCCAATCCAAGGACTACGCAGCGCGTGTAACGTTTTCAAGAGAGTATTTTTCTAACGGATTGTATTATCTGGGAAAAGACTGAGGAGACACAGCAGCAGATGAGGACAGAACTGCTAAAGAGGAGGAATGTGAACTTTTTACGACGGCGTATTGCGGACAAGCCCCGTCAGGAAATAATCTGATTGTAATCTGTGATTTTTTTTTTTCCATCCTGTCTGTCTGAGCACGCAAAGTGTGTGTATGTGTAAGAACGTTGACTGAATGACTGTACCATGCACCCACGTTCTGGTGAGGACGTGCTGGAAGGAACCACTGTTTTACTTTGCTTTTAAATGAGCGTGTTATCTAGCAGAGCATCAACCGGGCCTGTACTGTATTAGCACTTGTTCGTACACTGCCTGTCAAACGTTCGAGGACACCGAACTTTTCTTAAAACTGTTTTTTAATACAGATGAACATGATGTCTTTGTCGGTTTGCCAAAAAAAATAACATAATAAATAGAAAGCTCTTTAGATTTTGCCCCTTTTTTGTCAAAATTGCGCTTTTTTCTTCTTGTTATGATGTCAGAACTCAAACTTTGCAGGTTTTGCTCCACGCTTGGGCCAAGAGTGTTTCAGTATGAGCTTTTAGCAGCAGTTTGGAGAATAAAACCGCCCCATCATACCAAGGAAGACACTTTGAAGAAGAAGCTGAGTGTTGAAGTCTTTAGCACACAGCTGCAGCTATTTTTTGTACTTATTTTGTTACTTAACTGAAAATTAACCATGAAAAACAGAAACTTTGTCCAAGGTGTCTCCAAACTTTTGACGGGCAGCGTATTTCTAAGAGAATGGCATTTTATTCAGGCAGAGAGGCAACCAGCGATGAACGGCCAGTGTTGCATTAGTAGCCACTTTGTACACACATATACAAACATTCAGAGCAGCTGACACTCGATTGACACAAAGAGAGAAGAAGACAAGGCCCAGTTTGTAAAAGAAAGGTGATTGTTCTTTCCAGAACAGCTGGGATTGAGATGTTTTTCATTTTGGACTGGATGCTACGGTGCTAGTTATGCTAAAGGAATAGTTTGGCTAATATTTCAACTTACACGCTATCAACCTCAAATATAGTCGATCAGTCCAAGACAAGCTTGCTTTTTAAGGCTCAGCACTGGAGCTAATGTTGCTAATAGGATGCGGATAACCAGACAAACCTACAATCAAGAATGCGACGCATTAAAACTGCATTGCATTTTATATGAACAAGGATTTAAAGGCGATATATTCATCATTTTAAACATAAATATAGCAGCAAACAACTTTTTTCTATGTAAAGACATGACGGAGTAACAGCATCCGGAGCAGAGAGTGAAGCCACGCCCCCTCTGTGTGAGCTGTAATCCGAGCTTCTCTGTTTTTTTTTGTTTTCATAGCCAGTCTGGCCGTGCATGCATGTAAACGTCGGCCCTCCCCACGTTTTGTTGTGCATGCTAAACTTAAGGCGGAACAGGAAAATAGGAATTAGAAGCTGGTGAAAAAGAAGCTGATTTCAGCTTCACTGAGAGTTGAAATGCCTGAAAACGGATAAGGAAGCTGCTCCTTTTGCTGTTTCACAGAATCAATAGTCAGTATTGTTTTGTCCTGTTTGCGAGTGTTTGTGATAGCACCTGGTTAGCTTCACAACAGAAACTGTAGCAACAGTTTGCTAACACACATCCTAGCTAACGTTAGCTGCAGTACTTGTTGTGTCGCTGTTCATGCTAATGTTATTTCATGGTATTTGTGTGTACGAGGTTTGCGAAGGGTTTTGTGGCCACAAAGACCTAAAAAGGTCTGTTGGCATCGACAATGCACGTCCACAGGGTTGGGGGGCGGAGTTTCTGAAGGAGCACTGAAGGGAGGGTGAGTTTGTTTTGCTGTTGAGTTCAAATATCGACAGTCGTTCTCCAGAATCGTTTAGTGCACCTTCAAGCTTTATCGAATGAAAAACACGGGTAACGTAACAGATACGACAGCAGGGTAATGTGGTCTACTTACTTACACTTACCACACATTATTAGCCCAAGTTAGTGAACAAATATGGCCTGAACGGAGTTAGCCTGAAGTTCATATGCGTAGTTTGAACAACAATCGATGCAAACATTGTAGCTTTTAATCATGGGACCAACTACAGATGCTAACCACTAGCTAACAAACATGGCTAGGTTTTCTGAAAGTATCTTAGTACAAAGATCATTCTTAAATGATAGAGTGAGAATCACACTGAACACTCTCTCTACCAGAGAGGCTGATCTAGACAGAGACTAAAGCCAGTGTCACACTACACGACTTTTACCCCGATTTTAGCCCCGATTCTCAGTCTGAGCTGGTCGGCTCTAGTCTTCAGATTTCTGGGTCAGTCGGAGTCGACAGTTGGAGAGAGAGTCGAGTCGTGTTTGAGGGGCGCAGACTCAGATTTTTGGCCTCCTGATCGCGTTTCAGAGCAGTCAGAGTCAAACGTTTGAGTTTTTCAACCCAACTCTGAGCATAATCTAGTGTAAAGTTGTCGACGACTTAATCTAAACGGATTCCTGCAACAGCCAATGAAAACTGAGAGCGCGAAAGAAGAAAATACAGCAAGTAAACAAAGTAAAATGGCAGAAAGTCTCTCACATCTGGAGCGAAGCTTTTTAATGAGCTGAGTTTAAGGCACAATCGAGTTTATGTACATTTAAAACTCTAAAAATACCAAACTGATCACATTTTTAAATCAATGATCCACTTAAACATGTTTACCTGCTGCTTCTTTACTGTTTCAGCGCAAACGGCAGAGAAAACAGCAGCAGCGGCTCCACGTTTGTTTATTTGCATCTCCTAGTAACGAGAGAACGCGAGAGTTCGTGCGAGTTCATTGAGCTCCGTTCGGTTCAGCAGCAGCTGAAAAGTTGAGTAGTGTGTGATCCGTAATTGTTTAGTGTGGATCCACAAGATTTCAGTCGCTCAAAAAAGTCAGACAGTGTGAGACGCCCAGTCTTTATAATCTGTTAAGACTTTAAAAGTCGTGTAGTGAACCCAAGGCTTAAGATGCTTTTGGGAAACTGGGTCCACATTTGTAGGCCACAGCTGAAGATTACATTCAAGAGAAGCAACACAGTGTTTAAAAAAAGAGTCAGTTGAAGCTTAGCTTAGCGTGTCATGTGGCTAAATATGTGTATAGGATGGTTTAATCTCTGCTATAACTGTTTATCAATGGCTCCGAGTCGGAGTCGGAGTCGGAGTATTTGGCAGGTAACCGTTAATCGGTTAATCAATAACATCCCTAGTAGCCAACAAATAATGTAAGCTTATGATAATTACCCCAACTGCACGAACTCAACCCACATCAAGTTGTGAAATAATCTCTAGTAGACTTGATTGTGTGGTTTCTAACACTTTAAGACACACTGGTCTATATAAAGATGGACAAGTTAGCTACCTGTTAGCTACATTAGCCTCATAGCTCCAGTGCTAAAACTAAAGAAGCAAACTTCAGGCACCAGACACGTCTCAGACGGTCGACTACATTTGGAGTAAAAGCTAAAATGAGGTATTTTTTAACATTTTTCTGCCAAACCGTTTCATTTCCAGCTCAGTGCTCATGCAGATTTCATCATCACGTGGACCACAGGGTTCAGAAACCTGACCACTTCAGTGAACTTTGACCCAAAGTGTGGGACTGTGGTTAGAGGATGAGTTTTGGTCTTCACATTGGAGATCTATAATTACAAAGCAGGGAGATGACGATGATTATTATTGTTATTATTATTATTATTATTATTATTATTATTATTATTATGCTGCCTTTCTTTTGATGTATAGAAATCTCTGGCTTTATGTAAATGAGTTTTAATTCTTCTTTTCCGTGTCAGTGTAATCTGTGTTTACTTCACAATAAAGATTTACACCACCAGCTTTCCTCTCTTCCCTCGTTCATCCCGCCTCTCTCTCTCTCTCTCTCTCGCTGTCTCTCTCTCTCTCTCTCCGCTACATTTCAAATCCTTTTAAGTGTAACCATCCATGTACACACACACTCACACACAGAACACAGGTTTGTTTTTCAACTTTGTCAGGACACATCCACATATGTATGAGGCTATGCGTATATAACTATAATGGTAACTTTACAGGAAAAGGGGAAAAGGAAAAAACCTACTTTACTTGCAGTGTAAGTCAATGGAACCAAAAACTGAAAAATTACAAAAATGGGGATACAAGGTTTTCTTCAGACAGCTGCGAGATATACATATATATATATATATATATATATATATATATATATATATATATATATATATATATATATGGGCCACTCATGGGCTGGAGGTTAGGTAACCAGCCTTGTGTTGGTGGTTTAATCCCCTGAGCCGACAGTATGTGACTGAAGTGCCCTTGAGCAAGACACCTAACCTCCAACTACTCCCAGTCACATACCGTGGATAGGGCTACCCACCAAGTGTGCTCACTGCCCCCTAGTGTGTGTGTTGACTAGTGTGTATGTGCTGTTTCACTGGACAGATGAGTCAAATGTGGAGGTGAAATTTCCCCGTATATATGGGGGACATATTATAGTGTAAATATAGTGTTTTATATATATATACATACACAAAAATGGTTTCAATACATTCGATACATTTTTCAAGACAGACAAATTTTGCCTTACATTAATATTGTGGTTCCATTTTCAGTGCATTGGAGACTTTAACATTATAAAAGTACATTATTTCCAACAAAGGCTGTGCTTTATAGTGTTCCGATGTAACGTTCTAGCCACAAGCTAATGTTATCCTTGAGCCAGAACACTAGCCATAAGCTAATACGTTAGTCGTCATACCTTCTTTACACTAAGATACACTGCGATACAATTCAATACAATATGTTCTACTATTGTATCTCTAGTAATTGCGTCACCTATGTTAAAGTATACATTTCAATATGTAATATTATGTCGTTTTTTCAAGTGTAGCCCTAATCTTAATCCTAATCTGATCATCATGAGCTAAAGATTAATGCTTTTGCACTCTCTGTTTAAAAAAAAAAAAAGTTTTTGTGTAAAAACACTTCACAGTCAGAACCATTTCTTTCTGAAAAGGTCCTGAAAAGGTACTAAAACAAGCAGAGCCACACACACACACGGACACCTGTATGAAGCGCATTTCCATAATCGTTTCGGAATGATCCGATTTCTCAGCAGAACTCCGTCTCCGTCGTTTCTCCCCCCGTAGACTCGCTGACCTTCACTGCACCGGGAGGAGATGAGTGTTGGGTTTTTGGGAATAAGGATCTATTCCTCCTTCTCTTTCCGCCTTTCCTTCTTTCTATTCATCTCTCTCGCTCTTTCTCCCTCTCTTTCCCCCCGAAGACATCCCTCCTTCCCTCCGATCCCTCCTTCCCTCCGATCCCTCCTTTAAAGGAACGGCCTCGGCTCCTGAGGGTTTCCCGGCTTGTCCTTCACTTCAGTCTTTAACCTTCTCTCACTTTCTTTCTTCCACTTATTCACTCTCTCACTCTTCCATTTCTCACTCTGTTTCTCCTATTTCTTCTCTCTCTCTCTCTCTCTCTCTCTCTCTCTCTCTCTCTCTCTCTCTTTTTCACTCTTTCTCTTTATCTCTGCCTCTACTGCTTTCTCCGTTTTGCCTTTCCTTCTTTCTCTCTCTCTCTTTCTCTCGTCTTGCTTTTTCTCCTTCTATCTTCTTTGAATGTTCATGGTTCTATATAGAGCCTTTTGGAAAAGGGTTCTATATAGCACCAAAAAGGGGTCCTTCAACTGTTATGATGTCAGTCTTGTTACAATAGAAGAACCCTTTTCAAAAAAGTTCTATGTAGAACCATCTACAACATATCCATCAATCTGAAGAACCATTTCACCATGCAAAGAACCATTAATCAGGCAAAGGGTTCTTTGAATGTTCATGGTTCTATATAGAACCTTTTGGAAAATGGTTCTATATAGCACCAAAAGGCGTTCTTCTATACACTTAAAATGATCTTCAAGGCTTCTTTAGTAAAGAAAATGGTTCTAGATAGAACCATGAACAGTCAATGAACCCTTTGCATTATTAAATGGTTCTTTGCTTCACGAAAGGGTTCTTCAGATTGATGGAGAATGTGCTGTAGATGGATCTTTATAGAACTATTTTGAAAGGGGTTCTATATAGCACCAAAAAGGGTTCTTCTATTGTTACGATGTCAGGCTTGTTACAACAGAAGAACCCTTGAGTGGTGAACCGGACCATCAGAGTTAGGACTTAGAACCGTTTGGCCTGGAAATGTCAAAACTAAAAACTCTATGATAATGCTAAATTCTGCTAGCGCCCCCTAAGGGATTCTAGTAGTATGTTAGTGCAAAGCTAACAACAATTTACATGACCATTTTATGGCCGTTCTAGATTAAACACAAGCCTGTAACTGTGGCCAATATGAGAACATTTATCACTTTTGTGAATATCACATCACTGTATGTCACGGTAAGCTTTTCTGGGCATTTTGCGGATGTTGTCAATTCTTAATATAAATCATATCATAATATATCAATTAGTGTTCAATTAAATACAGTCAGTCCTGTTTAACTGAATTTAGTGCAGCCATGTGAACTGCTGAACACAAATCTCTGGACTCAAAATTCATGGTGTGACATATTTTGTATCAGACATTATATTATTTGTGAGCTTTTATATAACGGTTAGTTTCGGCCACGCAAGCTGATTGGTTGAGAAGTGTTCTAACCGTGCTGTTATTTCACCATAACATCACAGGGTTTTTCACAAACACTGTATCACTCCACTGAGACGCCGTTGCTAAGCAACGACTGTGACAGCTGTAGGAGACGCTCAAGCCATTTGAATGTTTTTACTTCTTACTTTGCCACAAACAGAAAATGGATACTTTTAAGATCACATTTGACCGACAGCTGATTTGGTCAGACTCTGAAGATGAGGCTACACTAAATTCCCAAACTGTCAGTTGGTCTGTGTGGAGCTGGAGAACGAACTGCCGGCTGTGCAGCGAGTGGGCGGAGTTCGTTACTCTGACGTAGCAACAAGCTGCTCGTTAAGGAACTATAATTTGGTGAAGGAACTGCGAACATTAAAACATATTAAACGCCGCGTTCACGGCCCAGTTTATTAATTTATTACTTTATTTATTTAACTGTTGTATAAAAGCGATAGAACACTCAAGGAGTGTGTTACCGCCAATAACATCACGGCTGTGATGATCTACAGCAACCAAATCCCTCCCTCTCGGGTTCTGTTGCTTAAGTATGTATCAGTTTCATAGTGACGCTTTCAGTTCTGCCATAGAGCTGCAGCCACTGTTTTCCATTCCTAACAACTACCTGGAACACTGCTTAGACTACGGCTCGTATTTACAGTCAGTTATCTAGAACTTTCAGAAGATGTTTTTCTCACTAAACTGGTCTCATTGTAAATCAAAGCATGACTGGTTGATTCCTCTGTCACTTCCTAATTATGCTGGTAGTTAATCTAGCGTGTGAGGCCTTCAGTCCAGCTCCTGAAGTCCTGACCAATGGGAGAGCTCACTCCCGTCTCAGCCTCTTTTGTTCTGTTTCTCTCTCCTCAGTTTCTCCCAGTGTCTGATCTCAGTTGGCTGTCTGGATGATGTGACAAACAACAAGCTGTCTGCTTTCTCTCTCTCTCTATCTCTCTCTCTCTATCTCTCTCTCTCTCTCTCATACACATACACATTGACTCACACACACACATATATATATATATATATATATATATATATATATATATATATATATATATATATATATATATATACACCTATACCTTGTATATCTGTGTCCACTGACCATATAGTTTCACTCTGTAGTTCTATAATTACAGACTGTAGTCCATCTGTTTCTCTGCATACTTTGCTACCCTGTTCTTCAGTGGTCAGGACCCCCATGGACCCTCACAGAGCAGGTACCATTTGGGTGGTGGATCATTCTCAGCACTGCAGTAACACTGACGTGGTGGTGGTGTGTTAGTGTGTGTTGTGCTGGTATGAGTGGATCAGACACAGCAGTGCTGCTGGAGTTTTTAAACACTGTGTCCACTCACTGTCCACTCTATTAGACACTCCTACCTTTTGTTTAGCACTTGATTTCTGTATTGGCTCAGCTACATTATAAATGAGAGTTTAAATAAAGGTTTAAATAAAGGTTGATTGATTGATTAATTGATTGACATCTACAAGGTGGATCAACAAGGTAGGAGTGTCTAATAGAGTGGACAGTGAGTGGACACAGTGTGGGGGTCCTGTGGGGGTCCTGACAATTGAAGAACAGGGTAACAAAGTATGCAGAGAAACAGGGACTACAGTCTGTAACTGTAGAACAGAGTGTAACTATATGGTCAGTGGAGCTGATAAATTGGACTATATATATATATATATATATAAATTCTCGGTCTGTCCACTCTCCGTCTCTCTGTCTGACTCTCAGTAATTGGCCGCTGTGTCTCTGTAAACATATTAATCACTGTCACGTTGACTTCTCTCACAGTGGGACTCTGAGCCTCTACAAGGTGAAACACACACCACTGCCATGCTCACATCACACACACCTCTGCTTTATACACACCATTTGTCCACCTGAGGGGCTTTTAAAGAAATTCTTCAGCAAAAAATCAGTTTCTGCCCCTTTTACCCCAAATGTAGCTGATCAGCCCAGACGTTTGGTGTCTGTCATTCAAAGCTGACATAGCTACCAAGTAATAGACGCATATGTAAACCTATTTGCTGACTAACTATGCCCAATCTGGGAGCAGCACAGCGTCGCCAGCAGAGCAGCAGTGGGGGGTTAAGTGCCTTGCCCAAGGGCAAGGGATTAATATAACCTGGGATTACTTCTATAGCTTGTTTTATAGCATGGTCTTAATATAATATGGGGTTATGTGTACA